ATTTTATTCTGGTGACTGGGCTGAAAAAAAAATCGCCATTATGTCTCAACTATGAATGTGTTTTCCAGTGCTGCTGCATTTGGAATATTTTTAAGTGAGAAGCCACTAATAAAGCCATGCCATCTTTTGGTCAACAGCTTTTTATAAACATTACACATATCTGTAGGTGGATTTAAAACAAACCTAATGCACAATCTGAGGGCAAACTAAAAAAATATAGAACTAGATGAACAGGAACAGATCAGTGTGGATTTCTTATGAATCATTTGTTACTTCCAGAGACACATGTTCATGCTTAACACTGACATTTAATACACTAAACCTAAACATAGCAACTCTCAAGACAAATGTAGGACTCAGACGATCGTCAGCGCTGTAATTCTGGACGTAGTCATAGTCATGTCTTTGTGAAGGTGACCTTTGATGACAGCAGGTCTGATGCGTTCACTGTCATCTGGTCCTAAATCCAACAGGGGTAAAAGCATGTGCTCTCAGTGAAAGCAATTAGGTCTATCTGCTGAGTGATTGCTGCGAGAGAGTTCATCCACACAAGTGGTCATTTCAGTTAATTTGAGTTTTTCGTGGTATAGGACTTCTGGTGATTATAAAAATTGAGGAGGCTGACACATTCTCGGGTATTCAGTTTCTCAAGTGAATCAGATAATGGGATCCTGTCTGCACCGTTCTGAGAAATCTGACAAATGTATATCACAATCACGAGGCTTTTGAAGGCAAATTAAGTGATTCATTATTTCATTATTTAGTCATCCTGATAATTTCTGAATGAGCTTAGAGATAACATCGAGGAATGCCAGTAATAGCGGGCCAGTAATGACCCTCTTAAGAAGCTGACAACATGACTTTCTGAGAAAGGCTGAAAAGTCAAAATGTGTCTTTGCCAATACTGGACAGAAGACTTTTTTTTATTAAAATGCTGCTTTAACGCATCAGAAACTAAAGATGTTTAACTCTACGTCTGCTCATTTCATTTCAGGCCCCAAAATGACAGAAGAGGGATCAATGTGTTGCCAAGGAAGTGCCTTCAAATCCACAGCAGTCATATGAACATTGTTGTGTTTATAGTGTTTCTATTTTTGTTGTTCTTGTTGTCATTATTGAAATGCTGATGGGACATTGTTGGTTTTTGAATGGATGTGCTTTTTATTTTGATGTACCATGTATTTGTAAGGAAACATTAATTTAATATTAAATACACCTATTTATTGAAAGGGTGTGTATATAATAATTTCACAACCATTAAAAACCTGATGATTTTGGTTATACAAGTCATATCTGATGGAGAGGAAGCTTTTCTTTTTGTTCCTTGTATATGACTCCTTTTCCGCTGTCATGCTGAAACCATGTTCTGAAACTGCTCTGAAAGATTTGTCATGCTCCTTCGTTGTCTTCATTACATTTTATTTGGCACTTGAGTGATTGCTGACAATGAGAACATATGGAATGACGACAGTGGTGATTATGCACTGCAGTGTTGAACAATAAAGAATATTGAAGCACAGCATATTCTGCTATTATTGGAGACGAGGGGAGTGAGGGAAAATATAAAGAGTAGGTGTGTGTGGTCTTTTGATGATGACCCATGACTCTCCTACAGTCTTGTCCTCTGCTTAGTGTTGTTTAAATGTGTTAAAACGGTTGACTTCATTACGAATGGCTGCAGTAGGAGAAATATTTCTCTTTTATTTTTCAGTAACTTACAAATGCAGCCTTCTCCGTCTCCTGCTCCTCAGCAGGTGTTTCCATTGCTCCTCTTACAGGAGTTTGTTGCAAAAGTTCTGGCATTGAGTCATAGCTGTCAGACATCCTGGACTCTTGGGCTCAGCAGGATGTTGAGCAATTCAACCTCAATAGGACCACATATACAGGACTTTGGATAAGACCAGCAAAAGCTTAAGGAACTCCTTAAGTAATCACATGTGCAAGGCATTGTACACATTGGTAGATTGAATTTTGTCGCTTTATTTCAATGACAGTGACTAATCCAACTTTTACTTCCCGCTTGAGAGTATCCTTCAGAGGCTTGGCGAAAGAGTTGCTTGTGCGGTTAACAAATCCAGCTTGGGATGTGTAACTATTTCAAGGCAGCCTGTTCCAGATCACCACAACCCAATTTATTAAGTGTGCCTGATATAATAGACCCCCAGCTCAGTTGTTGCATGTTTGTGTTAACTCCCTGAGATCTGATACGTGGCAAACATAATGTCCAAGTTGTCTCGGTGCCAGACAAGCAAAGTGTCAGCAAACGCTACGTATGGGATTAAAACAAACAAATGTGTCATTTCCGCAATTGTGGATAAAGGCATCAGAGCTGCCATTTAACATAACTCTACTTGATCATTGTGTATTTTTGCAGGGAGTTTAAATTACCTACCCTTGCCGTCACCAAGTGCTATAAAGTCCTGACAAAATAAACAGGATCCAACATTCTTCTTCTTGTCATGTTGTATCATCTTGTGCGGAGATATGTGCTGGGGGAATAGTTACAGTGATTGTTTTTAGGGTAGTGAAATAAATACTGAGCCACGCTGATAGACTAGGTTCTGAAGGAAACATCCGCTAAGCCAAAGATTACAACAGCTCAGTTCTCACGCCAGCACGTCTCTACAGACTCAGCAGGAACAGTTTGTTACATTGAATCGTGCATTATTCAATGCTTGGCTTGTTGTGAGTCCATTAAAAAGTAATTCAGGGAAGCAGCAGGTTCAAAAGGTTGTGACCTGAAACTGCATCGACAAACATGTTTGCTTTAGATCTGCAGCTCTCAATGCATGGAGCGTTTCCAACTTGATATGAGGTGGCCTTGTGCTGAAGGGCCATAAAAGGGCCACAAATCACAGCTTCCTCAGGAACAGAAGAGTCTATCTTCATCCATCCATCAAGTTCCTGAATATGATCAAACCTGCAAAAACAAGCACTTCCTCTCTGGCATATTGTATCGTGATCACCTCGGACAATTAATGGAAACAGGTTATGTTTTCTGCTTGTGCTATAAAAGGATTAGGAGGCTAAAAATACGTCTTGCACCCCACAGGGATGCACTGGGGATCCCTTTCCCTCCAGCTGGGCAGGGCAGGGACACCAGATCCTAATCTGAGGAGGATATCACTTATCTAGAGACAAACAGCATAGATTAGGAGAGGAGACAGAAGATGCACTGGGGACAGCATGTGGGAGGGCTCTAACACAATTACACACAAGCACCAAATCCCTCCTCTGATGCCTCTGAGAAAAGCTGGTGCAGTAAATAGTAAATAGAGACCAAAGCCGGGCCATTTGTTTCCTGTCAGACTGCGGCCGGATGCACCAAAGCTCAGCAGCAGAGAGAAGAACCCCTCGATGTCTTAACTAAGAGCTCATCACCTCCAGCTGCTCTGTTCTTTGAAACAGACAACAAGTTACAGATTTGCTTTTTATCCCCGTTTCTGTGTGAGGATGCTGTGATTTGGACTGACAGTAACACCAGTCTTGCAGGAGACTTGGGATCTTTTTAAGTAAAAAAAACAGCTCACTAAGTGAATAGATTGTCCTGATTCCTTGCTTTAATTGATTATGCAATCATACGCACATTTGTAATTTGACAAGCCCTTTGGCACTTACAGAAACATTTCACACGCAAACTATTCAGGGAAGATTAAGACTAGTATATAACCCAAAATCTAAACATGGCTCCTTATGACGTATGTCGAACTCCCCCCATCTGCTGAAGAATTCTGTGGCATAAGTAAACACTTTAATCCAATTTCTTGGACCCCAGGGCCTCGTCTCAGCAAGCCACCTTATTCAAAGTGATTGCAGTAGCCTTGATGGCTGTAAAATTGTTGTAGAGGGCTCATTGATTTGCTCCATGTCTCATGATTAATTCATGGCTCTTCCTATGTCTTTTGTGCGTGCATAAATCCCTACATGAGTCACCAATAATGTACGTTCAGATAGTACAGCCTCCATTAGGGATTTGACAGTTGAAAGATGATTTGTCATCGCCACATTGAGCTCTTCGCCAGAATTTCCATCGCGCGAAAATGGAACTTTCATGGATGCGATTGACTTTGACAGATTTAATAAAGAAAGCAGCTTCTATTGTCTCGTTGCGTGTTATTGTCGAATAGTTTGGATACATGATGACCCAACATATTATATGTCAATATATTATGTGGACCCTGGTCCATGTTGCACAAAGAAGTAAGTTGCTGCAGCCCTGTCAGTGTGCCAGCTGCGTCGTCTTTGATCCCATGTGCTGGAGGCGTTGGCACAGGTCTCCCTGCCGCCCCCTCTGCATGCCACACACTGTGTGTGCTCTGACGCCTGCCATGGCGTAACGACTAAGAGCATCAATTAACTGTGAGGCATCTTTCAGATGAATTAATGTTTTCACCCTGGCATGTGACATATTTCAGAGTTAATTCACAATTAGCTTCGTGTTTGTTTTCTTTATTTGGAAAAATGTGTAAGAACAAGGCTACAGAAATGTTCATTTATCAAATGAGTTAAAAATAAATGCCTCAAAAGCACAAAGGTGCTTTTTTTAATTGAAAGCAAATGGCATCTGTCGCACTGAGCAGTGATGTTTCAATCATATATACAAGTCTGTTTTCATCATTAAATAATTCACCCTTTATATATTAACAGATAATACTGACACTTCATTTACATTTGACAGACAGTTAAACATCTTTTAAAAACAGATTTGCTATCATGCATCATATTGTGTGTAATGCCAGCATAGTAAGACGATAAATAACATTTATTGAGGATTTGTTTTTCTTTTAAATAGATCCAATTTCAGTTTTGGCAAAGTGAAAACACTTCGCAGAACGTGTTCTTTTGTGGAGGACTTCATGATCTTTTCTCAACAATATTCAGTATAATTTTACTGAAGTTACGCAACAGTGTTTTTGTGGTATCTGGTTTACAGTTAGAGGCAGCTCATAAAAAAAGGGAACATAAAAATGAACACAAAACAACCACCAAGTGGAGACAGCTGAGGTATTGAATGATTTTATTCTCTGTTCCACGACGGCTGTCATGTGAAAATTCATCAAGGCAATTTTAATTATAAGCACTACACTCTCTGACAAACACACTCACACACGTCTATATTTATTTATTTAATCTAATCTCCTGACAACACATCAGACTTATTATCAAAGCAATTCAAATAATGTTACAACCTAACAGATGGACTAACTTAAAGTGTGCACATAAAAAAAGGCAATTTGATTTTAGGCCATTTCAAAACCAAACTGTGATACAAATTAAAACAATCAGTAACAAAAAAAAATCAGTTAAGACTTGATGTGAAATTAAGATTTTTTTTCTGCAACTTCCTTCATGAAAATATCACTTTCATTTCATTTCAAATAACCAGGAAATAAATAATAATTTCGTGTAAAATATGGACAACAATCTGTCATATTTTATGTAAAAATTACAGGTACAGGATAAAAGGCCACTGTGGTCAACTGCATCTTGCATTAATTTACATTTCACCAGCAACAAAAGTACGAGTTCCTCTCCAAACCTACACATTTTAAGTTACCTTATGCATATTGCTTAACACTTTAAAAATAATTGCATTCTCTTAAATATCATTTTGTAGGCAACAGCATGACACTTTATGGCTGATATGATATATCCAAGTTTGGGCTCAGACCCTTTCAGCTGCACACACACATTTTGATATAACATCATGATATGTAAACTAATGGCAGAGCAACACTGTGTCTCACTATGAGGAGGAAGAATGGTGCTGCTAAGATATATGGCGGAATATGAAACAGAATATAATGTGAATAAGACTTCATATAACACATTAAAATATCTGTACTGGTGATGAAAATGTTAGGTGTCTTTCAATGCTCCAGAGTTAAAATAGCATCAGTGCATGTGATCAGTCAGAGAATAGGCTCTGTGTCATTCCAGTTCACAGATGCGTCTTTCCACCTGAAACAAACAGTTCAAGGCATTTAGAGCTGACACAGGAACACACAACATGATCCTTCTCAACTTAAAGCGAATTATGAACACCAGCACATCTTAAGAAAAGCTTTTTATGGTTGTTGTCAGGAGTTGACAGACATTACTGTGCATGTAGGTGTGCATCTGTGTGTTTGAATGCCAATAGATCCTTACCTGGTTCGGATACAGTGCTCCAGTGGAGGAATGAGATCAGTGTCAGCATCTTGGCAGCTCAGGGCCGATCTGCCAGCAGCTTAAAAAAAAACAAAAGCTCAATAAGCATTTTCAGTTTTAACACAATTAGGCAGCAAAATAACTAAAAACTACTCAAGCATCAACACAAGAACGACCAAGATCATTTAGACGAGATTACATCATCTTACTCAGAGATTACACCCTGATGCATAATTTCTCTGAGCGGCCATTCACTGCAGGAGAGAGGATGATAAGACACATAACAACCACAACATAAAGTACATCTACACTGAGAACAAGTGATGTTACATACAGACAGTGAGGCGGATCTCCTCCTGTTGATTGGCCAGTCCGTCATAATAGTAGAGGTCAAACTCCAGGCCTTTGTCTTGATTGGTCAACAGCTCCCTCTGCAGGCCAAACAGCACACTGAAGTGGCTTTCACTGCACACCACCCAAATGGGGTAACGTGGAGTCTTCAGGTAAGCTCCTACCTTAGAAAGAAGAAAGTAAAACACGACAGAGCAAAGTAATCTATTAATGACCAGAATCCCGTAACCTCAGCAGCTAAATGGATTGCAGCCATCATCAATTTTCTTATTTTAAACATATCAAAAAGTGCTAAAAAGGCCTTGCAAACCAATTTTGAGCTGTCAAAAACCTGCTGCTACCAGTGATGGAGAGATGTAAAACCAAAACTAAGTTGTGGTATTTGTTTATGCCTCTTGGCACACCTCAAAGTCTCCAGGGTGTAAAAGTAACAAGATTTTTGTAGGACACATTTTATACATGTATTGGTATTTACTGCATTTGTTAATTATGTGCAGCAAAACATGAAAATGTGAAAGGTATTTTGCATTTCTTTTCTGGTCAATCATTAGAGTTTGTTTAAAGTTCATGGCTCTACTTCCTTTCTACATCATGTTCTGGTAGATGCAGCCAAGTACCTGTTTTCTTTGAGTAGGTGCAAGATTTACTGTGGTCTTCAGTTGAAATTTGGGCCACTGACTCAATTCCAATTGAATGAAACCTCAAAGGCTACATAATTAGAAATGCCTGGGCAAAATCTGCCATTAATCACAGTTTCTTGGGAGCCATTATCTTCCATCAGTGTCATCACACTATGTTCCTCAACAAATCACATCCACATGTCCATGATGTTCTTATTGACCTATTAATCACATTTCACATAACCAAGGCAACATAATTTGTTACTATGCTACAGCTTGATAACCAGAGAGCCTGGTACTTCCCATTTTCTTTAGTTATCCTGTTCTCCTGTGTGTGACGTACTTTGAACATTTTCAGGCAGTGTATGTGTTAACTATGATATATATCCCATAACAGTCAAAGGAACATTCTTTGCTGTGATTATGGCCACATCAGCAGCACAGATGTGACCTCCCACGCCCCCGAGGTGTTGTGTTTCCAACTGAATCTGACTACTCTGATTTCTCAGTGGCGAGGTGACCAGCGACTCGGCCACCCACTCACCTTGCAGATGTTATAGTGTTCAAATAAGGACAGCAGTCCGACATCACAGTGGCCTTTGACTCCCTTGAGCAGAGTAATGTTGCCATTGCCTGAGTCCAACTCCACGTCATTGTCAAAGACGTTAGAAACTGCTCTGCCGCAGAGCAACAGGTTGACCAGCTCCTGGGAACACAGATACCAAAAAAGCAATTTCATTAACCAGAATATATTTTGTGTATACAGCAGAAACATTAAGTAGTATTACTTGCTGTCTTGTTTTGTGTCTTGCACTGAGATCCCCTTGTTGTATAACATGCTCTAATGTAAAAAAAACAGACCAATTTTTGTACCTTTATTACTCATTCATTGATTCTGAATCACAAACACAATACAGAGTGTTCTGAACCAGTTTAAGTGAGAGTTATACTTCCGTGTTGAATCAACGCCGTACCCTACACTGTGGTCTGACATGCACCTACCGAGAGATGTGACTACACATCACGGCAGCGCAGACCTCCTGTTTATTTTTGTGTACTGAAAACCATTTCACTCAGTGGTAAACAAAGCTTTCCTTTACTTTTATTTTACAGATAATTAACAATAAAGTTATGAAAAAATAAAGCCCCCAAAAATATCATTTTAGTTTACGTATGATTTATGCGGGCTTCATTTGAAGAAACTCTGCTAGGTGCTAGGCTAACTTATGGAATGTAAAATGTCATAGGTTTATGCTAATAATATTAGCAGGTTGGATTTGTGGGGAAAACATGTCTAACAAAAGACAAATGTTTTGTCTGTGAACCCTTTGAATTATAGAAGAACCTAAATTTGCACTTTAGTTTAATATTGTTGCTATTAAGCCATGATTTTTGTGTTTAGGTGTTAAAGCAATCAAACTTTACAGCAATCCACAGAAACTCTACCTAGTAGTATAGAAACCCTGCAGCCAACTCGCACTTTGGAGCCACTTGCGTAGGCTCTAAACAACTACATACAGTCAGGTCCATAATTATTTGGACAATGATACAGTTGTCATCATTTTGGCTCTGTACGCCAGCCCTTTACTGTAGCCGTCTGCACTTCCTGCTTGTGTTTTGGGTGTTTTGCCCTCAGTTTTGGCTTCAGCAAGAGAAACACATGCTCAATT